GAGCATGTAAAAGTGTGTAGAAGTTCTCACCATTGGTTAGAAAAAGCTTTGTGACTGCATGTAAGGGGATGATTCATCTTGATTTACCCTGATTAGAAATGCATCTGATCATCCACAGACACTGATCTGCACCTCTCAGATTCAGAATACAGATCTGTTGTGTTTTGAAGCATGTGGGTTTTTTATTTAAAAAGTGTCTCTGTTTGTTCTACCTACTCATGCCCCTCCCCCAGTCCTTTAATCCTTCTTTATCTGCTCTCCCTGTTCTCCCCCCTTGCTACTACACCAACTTTTCTGATTGTCCAGACCTGGTTCCTCATGCCATTCCTTGCAATAGCTATTCATGTTGCAAGTGGCTGCCTGAACTGAGAACAAAGTAATTTACTGGCAGCAGCTATATTGCAGCAATAAACTTGACAACAATTTGGGGAGCATGGTGATGTGCATATATCCCTTGCTCTTCTACAAGAAGCATTTGTTACATCTTCTGAGAGGATGTTTCTAAAGTTGCTGCATAGCCATTTTAAACTTTTAGAAACTCTCTGAATACTTTAATGGTAATGTATGTAAGGTCGCCAATTAATTGAATCATCTGGACTTAAAACCAGACTACCCTAACGAGGTACTGCATAGCACACACATCAATTCATGCTAACGGTATTTAGTAGCTCATCTCTTCTTCAAAGTTGGTTTACTATCCTCAAGAAGCTTTTCTCTAATTAAGCGAGCTGAAGCTCCTGTAAATCTTGTGGTGGAACATGTTCCCCTTGAATGTCTAAACACCTTGTCATCTCTTGTTTATGGTGTAAGCCTTTGATTTCATGAGCACTGCTTTGTTAACACAAAGGGCATTGGTTTGTGCAGATATTATCTTCTCTGGACATGTGTAGTACACTGCAGCACTTTCATGGCATGGGTGGTAATGAAGCTACATTTAAAATGAGAGCGCTTTTTGTTCATCATTGTGTCTGTCCTCAGTACCCTTTCAGGAGTACTAGGTATTGCTGTGATAAATATTAAACCAATTAATAATAATAATTAAGGGTAAATTACATAACACCTGGTGTTAGAACTCTTAACCTTGTAATCTTGGCTACATTTTGGGCTAACAAGGCTCCCAAAATCACTAAAAATGGATGCCTTTATTTGCTTTTGTGTAGATTTATTTGAAGCTACAAATACTTCAATCTGCAAAGTTTGTGGAGGATTTTCAGGTTTGTAGTCATCTATAGTCTTTTAACTTTCTTGTATTCTTATACATTGTTTCAGAGTGGTGGGACGTTGTTTTCATTTTCTGGTAAATGTAACATTCTCGACTGCTGTGAAGTGTTGGAGTGATGTTGATGTGGACTGCAATTCGTGTTCTGTATATATTTAGAGTTAGTAGACTGAATGAAGTGAGCATCTAGGAGAAAAGGTTTACTGTCTCATGTAATAACAGCAATATTTTTTCCCCAGAGATATTGCTTAGTACTTAGAGGTAACTGAGCAAGCAGAGCAGCCCACTCTTGCACAGGACGGGTTTTGATCCTGTCAGTATTGTACTTCATGTAAGGATCTCTCTGTGAAAGCTGGAATGTTTCATGCTGAGTATCACTCCCTTTGGATAGTAGCATGAACCATTAACAGATAAGTAAACTGACTGCAGACACCTGAAAAAAATGTTCCGACTAGAAGGATGATAGTAGCCAACTTTGGATGACTATAAGGCAGTGAATGATCTTGCTGGCATGGCAGCTGATGCCACCTTTGCTCCTGCTGTGTTCCATCACAGCTGGGGAGCAAATGCAGAGTCTCAGGCTTAGCTGTGAATTGGCAAGTAGGTTGCCTATCAGTGAAAGTGCTTGTCAGGACATGTGTTATCCTTGTTAGAAAGTATTTAAATTAGTTTAAAAGAAGTAATAGAAATGAAAATCTAAGATCTTACTTGATAGATTTTAAAAGTTAATAGTTATCACAAACTCTCTTTGCAGATGTATAACAGACATTTACAACTCATGGATCTCATTTTTCAAAAATCACAGATAATATCAACTTCTCTGATGAGATGACAGCATTTTCAGGAGACATTAGTGGCTTCTAGCTCTCGGACATTGCAAAATCATGAGCTCATAATTGTTCTAATCTGGCTATTTGCAGACTATAGAGTTTCAGAGGTCACTCAATACTTCCAACATTAATAACTTGCCAGTGACAGTGGTTACCATCACTGCCACCAGTGATAATAATTTTAAGACCTTTGTAAATGCAAATCCTTGCTAAAGGCTTATGAGGCTGGCTTTGTTATTCTGGTTTTACAAATGAGGAGAAGGAGACAGAGAGAGGCCCATGAATCTGGAGCTTGGGTCAACTGCATCTGAGGGTACAGCTGCTTAGAGCTTTAGCAAACTTGGCTATAAGTCACCTCCCTTGGGCCATTGTAGGAATGTTTGGCTCACTCAGGATTAGGACTTATACCAGTCTCATGGCTTAACAACAGCCATGTAATAGTATTTTGTTCATACCTCTTTCTAGAGACCTGGACAACCTCTGTTATAGAGTCATCCTTAAACCTTGGGTCAAAACCAGCACTGTTGATTCTGACTTTCCCTCTGTTCAGACTGAAGTAAGGTGAGATGGATCTGGAGTGCAGGAAGTTCCTAGGAGGGCCAGAAGTTCTTGGTCAGTAGAGGTTTGGTGGTCCTTCAGCAGCTCAGGCTCTGCCTGAGACTGACTTGACCTCTGGAAGAACCCAGAGTCAGCATAGCGACATGACTTCAGTTTGCCATCCCTCCCCAAGCTCTGAGGTGCAGCTCTGTGGTACTCTATCATTTGCCCTCTTGCGTGTCTCACTATTCTTGTCTTGCTTCAGTTTTGGTTGTTCTTTGCTTTCCCATGCTTTAACTCTCCTCAGTACTGTTTGTGGAACACCTTACGCCTGGTTTGCAAGGACAGGCAAAATAGCTAATGTATTCCCTCTCCAGGGTGGTGGTATTTTGATGACAGGTAAGGTAATACCTGTTTTACTTTAGTCTGTGATCCAGGCTATAATGGTAAATTTGTGAAATGTTAGGGATCTTCTGGAGGGAGGTTATCTGTAAATGTGCATCTTTATATCACCAAGGTGATGAGTTCAGGTGAGGGGAAATGAAATAAAAATTACATATTATTGTGCAATTTGTAGACTCTTTCAATTTTGTTCTTTTGCTGATCACTGCTTCCTCTGTTCTCTCTGCAGGTCTCCAGGTGGTTTTAAATTCAATCATCAAGGCCATGGTCCCTTTGTTGCATATTGCCCTGCTGGTGCTGTTTGTCATTATTATCTATGCCATCATTGGACTGGAGTTATTCATGGGGAAGATGCATAAGACCTGCTACCATGTGCAAGGGGGGCTGATAGGTAAGGGGAACAATCTAACATACACACAAAGATTTTCTGAGAGAGGCTTTCCCCATATATAATGGAGCACTTATGCTGGCATAGGAGATGGGTGGCTGTTGCTCCTTGCTGCATACCTGTTTGAGGTTTCACAGCGGTGGTTCCTCTGTTCTGCTTCTTGGATATGAATCACCTTTGATGTAGAGAGACCATCTCTAATGGTGAGAGTTTAGTTTGCTCATCTTGGGCACTCAGTTGTTGGCCTGTCTGTAAAGGCTATGTGCAAAATTGTCAATTCCTGCTTAACACAGTAGTTGACTTTTTAATGTGGACCTTTGGCACTACGAGCAAGCCTGAGTTCTTTAAGAAACCTCCCAGAGGCTCAAGCAACACTAAAGTAGTGATGATTTCACCACTAGCAGACTGAAGTACAAATGAGATGGTATCACCGAAATGAGTAACTCTTACGTTTTATTATTAATCTCGTACACAAATACATCTTCATTTTACGCCAGTGTCATTGTAAAGGAATATCTAATTGAGGCCCAGTACCATTTTTTTAATCACAAGCTGTGACCATGGTTAGAAGTGCAGCTACTAAGAAAGCAAAATTATATTAATGGGAAGAAAATTTTTGCGCCAAATCCATCAGGAAAGAACTTCCAAATTATTTACAGAAAGAAATATTCAAATTTCAAAATAATTCAATTTTATTGTCACTCACTCATCTAACTACCTGTTCTTTCATTTGATTTATTGATCTTGAACAGTAGTGATTTCCCGTGTGGTGATGGGTGCCAATGTCTAGGACACAGTTCATCTTGTAACCAAGAAAGTATTGTACAGCAGGAAATTTTTTCAGAAGTTCTATATTTTCTGCTTTTGTAATATTGGCAGATTTCATTTCCTGGAAATGATGCTAGAACTATGATGAATTGTCAGTCTGGTTTACATCTTTAAAGTATATATATCTTTCTCCATACTGTCTGGAATTATTTACTTTACAGCATGTAATTCTAATATTGCAGTTTTTGGGATGCGTTAATGATCAGAATGTGATCATAACTTTTGGAAATTTACATTTTTTTGCCATATAAGATGAGAAATAAACCTAATTACTTGCTCCCACACATATACATACATGCAACTTTTATAAATGTAGCACTAAGCTCTGAAATTCGTATATTTTAAAAAATTCTATTGCAGGAATTTTTGTGCTTATAAAAATGTTTTCTGTACCATTTTTCGTATACTAAAGCATTTGGGCAGGCTTGTTGTATGAGTTCACAGATCTTTGAAAACACCTGTACAGAATAAGGGGTGGACCATCAAGCAGTAGTTTTATAGAGCTTCTGAGTGCCACTGGGCTATTGATAAAATGCCACACAGCTTCTAAACTCCAAAAGAGCGGAGTTCCAGAGACTCTCTGCTGTAATTTAGCAGTGGCCTGACACCGTATCAACCTGTCTCCAGAGCACTGAAGCCTGTCTGCTGCAGGGGTTCAGCCTCCTTCAACAGAGTGCCAGTCAGTGCTGCAATTCCCTTCCAAGATTAACCCAGATGCCAGGTGACTGCAGTATGAAAACACTGGTCATAACATGCAGCCTAAAGAAATGCAATAGACTTGATCTAATGTTCCTTCTCACATTGAAAGGCATGATTTCTTCCTCATAGGAGGGTGTGCTTTAAAAAAATGTCCATCTCAATTTTGACTGTAAAATTTGACAGCTTGGCCTTTATTTACAGAAAGAAAGTGAAGCACAACAAAACATCCCTCTGCCCATTAAAATTAATACAGTTGCTTGCATATTCCTAAAGAAATCTGTCAAATTTGCTGCAAAATATATTTGTTAAACTCGGATATCCTTCACTTGCTTATCAGTGTTGTCAAGTAGCAATTGGTTCTCTTAATCCCCTTTTTGTTCCTCCTCTTCTTTCAGATACACCTGCGGAAGATGATCCATCTCCCTGTGCCCCCCAGTCTGCGCATGGCCGGCAGTGTCAGAATGGTACAGAGTGCAAGGCAGGCTGGGAGGGACCTAAACATGGCATTACGAACTTTGACAATTTTGCTTTTGCTATGCTGACAGTGTTTCAGTGCATCACAATGGAGGGCTGGACAGATGTACTGTACTGGGTACGTATCCGAAAATGATAAGCTGAAAGGCCTGCTCATGAGCTATGCTGAAACTTCAGGGCTTTAGCTTTCTTGCTTGTTCTATACAGTGAAGGCATGGTTGCTAGCATGGAGCTTTAATTAACTCAGAATATTAGTGGGTAAAACAAGAGGGTTTATCTGGCACAGTTAAATCAAATGCAAATGTTAACTTTCCATTGATATTTTAATGTTGAAAGATGACACATGGCTTACTGCTTTGAAGATCTGCAATGTACCTTTGTTGAGCAGAATGTCATGTAAAGACCCTCTCTGCAGGAGTGAAATATCTCATACATCTCCAGATTACTGATGTAGAAGTATCTGTGACAGATAACTGTGTGCTGTACGCATGGCATTAATGTTACAAAAACACTATGCTGATCAGCTCACAGGTTTTATAAGAAAGGCCTCACAAATTCCTTTTCATGCCAGCACTACTCCTGGTTATGACTTTTGTAATAGTATTAGAATAAATTCTCCTAACTCTGATATTGATATTGACCAAGGTTACATGTTTAGCAGAAACATGGTATTATCTTTAATCTAAATTCAGTCTCATCTTGTCCTTTACCCTCATTATGGAAGTTTCAATTTAGCCTTCACCTGTAAACCAGATATAAACATGTTTCTGGATTCAGGTCTTGCCATCAACTTTTGCAGCAATATGTTATGGTCCAGGAATTTAATTGACACACAGCTCAGTCCCATCTGTATAAGGCTAACTCAGACTCTGACTAACTTTGAAGACTGGCATACTATGGCATCTGGTTCTCCAAGATGGTAGGATGTGCTACAATGAGTGATGGAATTTAACTCAAGAAGACCCAAAGCACACAAAAGGATAATCTGGTCTGAGGCAGCTCACACTGTTAATCCACATCAGCTCCTCTCTTAAACATGAACCTGAGGCAGCCTTCTACCCACCACTGAGTTAGAGTTTACAAGATTTCCCTTTGAAGATTTAGCTTATCTGCAATAGATAGTCTCTCTGTGGAACAGCTAGCAGTTGTCTCTTTATCCTCATAAATTTAGATTAGAATTGTGACTTTAGCTTCCTTCTAATTTCTGAGATAAAGGGCACAGATCAAACCACAAGGGGAGTCTGGGTCTCAGAGCACAAAAATTGCCTTTACTTGAAAAGAGGGTATAGATTAATAAAGTAATGAAGAAGAACAGAAGTTAAGTCAGACAAGGAACTGGGCAAAACTACTCCATGGCTCAAATATGGCTATATATAATATACCTGTCTTTTTATCACATTTAGCTCTCATTCCTCCAGTTTTTGTGTGATTGAGAGGATTTATAGGTAGTTCAGGGGAAACAGGAGAGACTAAAAGGTATCAGAAATAAACATGAGAATAGTTTTGGCAGCATATACCATTTAGTATTGTGAAACCTATCCACAAGTTATCATCATTTTCTCCAAAGGCAAGCATTATGAAAGACCTGGCCAATGCCCACACTTTTAGATCCATGTGTTGTTTGCACGGCTGTATGTGAATCATTCAGAACTCAGTTATCAGTTATCTAATAATAACAGGAGCCAAAAGCATATACTTACTGCTAAATGATTTTCTACCATGACTGCTGCAGATGGTCTGATGTTTTTATGGCGTCCCTGCAGCAACCTGGATTTTAGCAGTTGGCTTTTGTTTGGTATTCAGCAGCTTTTTTCACTGACTTCCCGAGCTGCTCTTTTTTCTTTAGAGGCACTATGGTGAACTGAGGCGTGAAATTAATACAGATTGATGGTCATTATTTTTAGGGGCATCCGTATATTTAACCTTTTAGATTATGGCTTTGATAGAATTCTTGCTTTGGAAGCAAAAGAAATATTTATTATGTCAGTTCCCAGTTATACCTAGACAAGACTACAGAAGATAAAAGTTAGCACTACAGATAAAATTTCAGTAATTGAGGAGGAGGAAATCTGGCTTGTAAAGAAAAAAAACATATCGCCTATGTTTAAAGGCTGTGAAATACAAAGTTTGAGTAAATACCTGAACACCTGAGCTGACAGGTGTACTTGGTTAAGCTCCTAAGAGTATTATTGTCCCATATCACTTTGTGCCTCTTTGTCTTATATTAACAAAGTGGATAGAAGTAATTTCTGATCAGTGTTTGGCATATGGTAAAGAAGGTATCTGAGATGTGATCTGTATTTCCTTCTGCAGAGAGGTCTGTGCTGCTCTGGGGGCAGGTGTTGATTGGACAATTACTACAGAGCACACCTATGAGAAGCATTGTGGCTTTAATATTTGTATGTAGAAACAGCCTCAACAGTCACACTGTAATTTCATATGTGGGTATTTCAAACCATATTTATTGTAGTTTATACAGTAAGCTTTATAGTCCATGAAAAGGGCATTCTAGCTTAAGCTAGCTAGATCAAAAGGAAGAGTACTTCTGGATAGTAAAGAATAGAAAAGATGCAACACTTCAATTTCTGAGAGTGAAGGAAGAATTTTAGAAAGTGTGGTAGGATATAAATATCTATTTTAAACTTAGTATGAGCCACTGTTTCTTCAGTGAAGTCTGACTCATATATAATTCTACTCCCTGGTCTTTGCCCTTTCAGCCAAGGAAGAGTGGACTTGTCATAGACAACATATTGGGGGCTGCATCTCCACAAGAGTGCAAAGATAGGAGGCTATTCTCCTCTCAAGTAGATAACACTTCGAAAGATCTCCTGGATTCACAGTGAGGTCATGGAAATTAAAATTTGCTTTATTAGCAAATAAACATGCACAGTTAATTAAATTAGAAATCCAGACCTAAAGATCCCCTTTCTTCCAGCTACATCCTGAGATAGAGAGTTGGTTGTCCATTTTACACTGAAAGGAAAGTACAGATTAAAGAACAGTATAAGAAAATATTATCTGCAAATGAGACAATTTTGCAGCTAAAAAATTTTAGATTATAATTTTCAGAGGTCATTCCTTAAACTTCATGATGTAAACTAATGGGTTAATATTAAAAGTGCTGAGCATTCAAAGTTCAAGCAGACTGTTAAGTTCTTAGCTCCTCTGCAATTCAGGGTAGATACCAAGGTTTGAATCTGGAGTCCTGCTGGGATCAATAGCAAAGTTCCAATTGATTTCAGAAGTCAGGATCTTACCTTCTATTTTGTAAAATCTTGATCGTGCTGTTGAGAATTTTCCACATGCAGTCACGTGTACAACATGAGGACTTACAGATGCCTAATCAGGGCCTTGGTGTCTGCTGTGATAGTCTTCCAAGAACATACATGTGGATGCAGGGAGTTTTGTTTGCCCCCTCCTTAAATCTGAAAATAAGAGCCTGACCTAAAACTCAGCAGAGCAACAGATAAAGCTCTGGACTGAATTACTTGGCTGGAAGTGTTTAGACAATGGAGCACTTCCCTTGGTTTGAACTTTTCTATAAGTGCTTTTCAATTATATCTTCCCATTTTTTGAAAAATAGCTTTTGAAACGTACCTAGATCTCTCCATTCCTCTCGGTGGGAATGAAGGAAGTTTAGCACATTTCAACATGTTGCCCTGAAAAATATACCAGTAATTTCATGAAATCTCTGTCTGCCTTGTGCCACACTTTGCAAGGTTAAACCTGCACGTTTAAAAGTTAGAAAGCTGTATGACCTTCCACAATCCCTGGACTGCTAATACACTTAGTAACTCCTCAAATTTAACTTCAGTTTCCTGTTTCCTTCATGCTTCCCCTCATGCCTCCGCCAGCTTTTCACCTCTGTAGTGAAGCCTGTCTCCTCTCTCATGGAGTACTATTTCCATATCCTCACAAAAAGATAATCAGAGACAGGAAAGCAATAAACTTTTACTCCCTAGAAGGACTTGACATCAATAAGATCAATACACTTTCCAATCTCTTCTCACTCAGCAGATAAGACTTGTGAGTAGATTGGTTTCTTTTGAAATGTGAAAGAAAAATATTAGGGAAAACAGCTTGACACTGCTGTAGTGGCAGGTAAGATAATTACTTACAAGGAGCCAAATTTTTAATGTGAAATAACTGTATTGGATAGGATGAAAATCCATGCAAAACAACTTTGTTGACTCTTTGCTGAAGAATTGTTCTTTGTTGAAGGGAGTGTTAAGTGTTCACAGAAGCATATCTCCTATATTACCTCAATCTTACAAGATTTACTTTGTCCCAGTATAACTGCCAGGTGGCTTTGTCTCATAAGCAGTCAGTTCATAGAATCATTTGAGTAGACAGGCACCTCTTATGATATGTCATAGCATTATTTTTCCTATGCATTGTAGAAAGATTGAGCTTATTATTCTCAAAACTCTCCTTAATGTATGATCAGCCAGCATTAGCAGCTCACTTCCCTGTGCAGGCACCAAGGTCCATTTCTGAAGACCCCTCAGTCATGGAAACTTCCAGCAGCAGATGCAAATTCAAATGTTACAAATTGAGTCATTTGGTATTTTGTAATCAGTCTCTGCTGCAGTCCATTATTTCTTATGTCTTGTTGACTAAGGAGGAAAATTAATCCCTGTGCAGTTTGTAACATCCTGTTTAAGTATTTGTAGACATTTGCTGTCTTCCCTTAATCTTTTTCCAATCTGAGCAGATTCAGTTCTTTCAACCTTCCCTAATGGGACTTCTTTTTGATTATTTTTAATCAGTTTGTTACTGTCCTTCAGAGGAAGCTTCACTTGTGAGTTAAATACAATTCGGACAGTGCCGTGTCTCCAGAAAGGCTTTCATCTTTGAGTGAAATGTGCTTTCTGCAGCTGTAACCCTGTGACACTGCATGCAAAACTGCCCACTGCAGCCTCGGTTTTAAGTGCCTGGTCTCTCCACTCCCCTGCATTTAAGCAATCATATATAAATTGAAAGAGAGTGCAGAGCAAGTGCAAAATGCAAGCATACGTTGTTGCATTGGGCTATTCGCACTGCTGGGTAGTGGAGAACCTGTTCCTGAGCTGTTCTGCAGACAGCTTGTCCATTAGAGCTTGAATTCTAGGATCGAGT